TTTTTTTTTTTCCTTATTTAATAGAATCCAATACCGTCTAACTTGACTTTTTAAACACGCATAGAGGAAGAGAAGATGATGGGGTGGGGGGGGGGGGGTGGGGGGATCATTAATGCATATGCTTGTTGTATTTCTTGTGCTAGTATTCAAGTCAAATAACTAAACATATGACTTGTTCAATCCTCCCAAATCTTTAATGGTAAAAGGACATTTGTTGGGGGAAAACGACTTTGATCATTAATTCTAACCAAACCCAGAAGGGACTGAAAAATCTTCAAATATAATTCATTTTGTTTCTTCTCTCAAAAATCTTGAGCAAATTAAGGAGAAGATGGAAGGCCTAATTCCAATGGTATTCAAAAGCATCAAGAAAAATGGAGTTAGAAGGCAATACAAATCTCTCTCTTCTGGTGCAACTGATAAAACTCACTATAATATTGCAGATTTTTACACAAATGATTATAGTTCTTACAACAAACAATATGAGAATGGTGGTTTGCAACAACCCGAAAAGATCTCGGGGTTTCATGCAGATGGTGGTGCGGGGCGCCACTACTCTGTTGATTTCGATCATTCTGCAGCCTCGGAGTTGGAGGATTCTGTTAAGTCCAAGCAACTTGTGAGGTTCAGGAGCCTCGGAATGTTCTCATGTGTGACTGGTGCATGAAATTAATACATATTTGGTATGCTGGATGGGACAACACGAGACGAATAAAAACAAGTTCAGATTTTATCTGGTGTGAGGTCACTTTATTGGCAGTTTAGCAAATCAAGGATTCATGGTTCTTATTTCCTCAATCATCTTGTTGTTTGTCTTGAAGATTTCTTTGTAAATATTCTTGAGAAATTTGTGAGACTTGGGACAGGTACAAATGTACAATTCTCCGTTATATGCAAGAAAAATGTTGATATAGAGAAAACTTGTCAATCTGTTTGTGTCGTGTTGGTTTTAGATATTGTAGCTTATTCGAATTCTTTTATCTCAAGTGCCTTGTTTAAGTCTAAATTTTGGTCTCTCGAGTACTACCTTCGTTTGGGTCGACCTAGGACATAGACACACACAGTGTCGACCCTACAAGGACCATTGATAAACCTCTCGTCTTGTCCGAGTTCGCTGTTTCATCCAAATCTATTATATATGATTCTTGATTACCTTACCTGTTCATTGTAAAAGTGAAGAAATCTCATATATTAATCCTTCGTATTTAAAACTGTTGGGATTGATACCACTTGTTGTGAAGTCAATCACGGAATTGAAATGTTGAAATTAATTATATGACAAATAATAATGAAGTATATGATGAAGCAAAAGAATAAAAGATGACAAGAATATGGAAAAAGAATTAAGAGATTTTATTGCACCAAGAATAATGGAGAAGAGGGAAAATTACAATAGATCCTATAATTCTAGTAATTTATTTTCTCACATGTAATTGTTACGAAAATTGTATAGAAGAACCTAATATTTATAGGGAACATGTAGGGGACGTCCAAACCCTTTTGGTAGAGTTGTTGATGAAGTATGATGCCAAAAAACTGAGTCCAGAACGAAGTAGGAGAGAAAAAATTGCGATCACGTACTGTAGCAGCGCTCAGGCGCTAGGTTTCGGATTAATATTCCAAAACATGCTTCCAATGTGTTTTTCTCTATTCCGAACTCTTCTTCAAATCTAATATCAATTTACAACTTTCAATGGACTTCCAAAATAGAATTTCAACTTGATATAGGACTCCAATAACATCCCAAACTTGAATTCTTCTTAATGTCACTACAATTAGAATTCTTCAATACTTCAAACAAGTAATTCGGGTCACACCCAAATTCTAACAAAAACATAACCAAGATGAATAAATTAAAATGGATGTTCATAAAAGTAGGGTAATTCAAAGATTCAAATTAGATTACTTGTAAGATGATTCATCTGCTAGCTATAGGTATGAATTGTTGAACTGATTCATCTAAAAACTTAAAGACATATTTGATGCATCCTTTAAATGCCCCTTCATGTGCCAAAAACTAAAAAAGAATATTTCCTCTGTCCCATTTATATAGGCTTTCTTTCTTTATTTTCTTGTCCCAATTATATAGTTTTCTTTCTTTATTAAGAATGTTTTATTTTATTCATTTACTAATATACTCTTATTTCTTTACTACTTCCAATACTAATTTACTACTAATTATTGATAATTAAATGAGGGTAAACTAAGAAAGTTATTGGAAAAAATTACTTTTTCAATAACATTAAATAAGATTTCTAAATCCGTGTGAAAAACAAAACAAACCAAATACACCCTAAATCTCCGTAGAATCCAAGACGAACAAAGACGAGACTGAAAAGTACATTCGGCCAAGAATCTAGATATAACCATGATATTAAATCTTCTATGGACTTTAAATCACTCATCAGTTATTTCATTTTTATATAGAACATTCAAAGTTGGGATATTCCCAAGTAAAACAATCTTTGTATTCCTTTAATAAAGCAATTAATTTATTACTTACCTCTTGATTAAGCATCTGGCTGACAAATGTTGAACGATCTTTCCCTTCATCGCCAATATTTACCTTTATCAAAGGGTCTTGTGCTTAAGCATGTTCGGGTTTTGTGATCCTTATTACTTCATCGTCTAGGTTCCCTGTAGACACATCCTCTTCTAAACAATCCACCTTATTCACTTCTTGGCCAATATTCTGCTTCAATTCGAACACTGCTAATTTGTTTCTCAACGTTTTTGATGATGCTTCTTCTTTTGTCTTCTCTTTACATTCCTTATTAAAAGTCATTAATTTGGCTTTGAAGGCCTGAATATCGGCCATATTTTCTTGCTGCGACAACTCATTATAGTTCCTTGATTATCTTTTTGCCAATTACTGGCTCTTCAAGGGCTACTATATTTGGCCTCATTTGATTGAACATTTCAGTAAGCATATCTACTGAAAATAGCTATTTACTCTGTGCGACGATTTGAGTCTCTTTCCCATCTTGAACTACCTTAACAGGTCCATACGAACCTTTCTACTGAGTTTGCTTCTGCGACAAAGGGCCTATGGTCTGCTTGCACCACTTCTGTTTCGCCTTTATCGTTCTAGAAAACCAGGCATTGGTGGAGCGATGAAGGTATGCAACGACTCCCATGAATCCAATCCCTTCCTAGTAGCACATTGTAACTAGTAGGACCGTCTATCACGAAAAAGACTGTGGTCCTAGTAATTGTTTCCACAATTATGTCCAGTAGCATCACTCATTTAGCTGAAGTTGCTTCTTCGTTGAAACTTGTGAGAATAACTTCTGTTGGGATCATATCGCTTTCTGTCTTTTTCAAATTTTCTCATCATTCTGGACAGGATGGTATTTATGGCTGCTCCATTGTCGATGAGCACTTTTACCACAGGTATACCATTGACTAAGGCCTTCACGTACAATGGCCTCAAGTTTTGGTTAATTTCATAGTTGGCCTCTTAAATATAACCTTTTCAGCCGCATCTATTTCACTTCATGTTTATCCTCCGTTGAATTATTTCCTTGTAACAGTCCACGTGCAATACTTCCCATTGAGTTTCTACCTCTTGGATCTCTTCATTTCTTTCTTCTAATGCTTCTTCTTCAGTTATCCAACCTGTAGGGGGAGGAAATATTCTTGGAGGTGACCCATACTTCTCAAAGCGAGATACTCTCACCTTTCTCTTGGGCGTCCCATATAATACATAGTAGTCAAAAGAACACCCAGATAGTTCTCCCAACAAATCCACCTCGCGGATACCTTTCTGATGCAGTTGCTTCAACAAATTGTTACGCGACACTCCTCTTCTTTTTATCTCTGCTTCTAAATCAATTTCCTCTTCAATGTCAGTCATATTATCGTCATCTTCTTCATCATATACCTCAGGAGATGTTTGGCCTTCTTCACATTCCAGCACACACGTTTCTTTCTCATTATCTTCCCTTTCCTCCTCTTCATTTTCCTTACTTTTGAATTCATTGGCTAGTAAATAATTATTAGTCATGGCATGAGGTAATGTACCAAATTGAATAGTGAGGGGTCGCTCGTGATCTTCATCTTTCTTCCCACGCTCAAATTTTGATATCCCATACTAACTTTCTGGTAACTCTTCCATTGATTCACCCATACCAGCCTCTTTATTATCTTTAAGAACATTTTTGTTAGCCACTTCAAGTAATTTAGGTGCTGATAAGTGTGTTTTGCACACTTATTTAGGTCACAAAACGTGAAAAATTATTGATGTATATGTTGAAATATGGCTTAATTCGATATAATTTGTGTTTGTAGGATTACATTGATGGATGGAATGAAGAGTATGAGAAAATGAACGAAAAATGACCAAAATGGAAGAATATGAAACCTCGAGGACCAAAATGTAATTATTCAAAAGATAACCCGAATAGCGAATCAACCATGGAATTGAGTTAAGTAACACATTGTGATATCATGGGATATTAGAAGAATAAGGAGAAGGAATCAAGGCCAAAAGGTAGATGAAACAAACTTTGGGACCAAAGTGAATCAAAGAGAAAATTATTTCTACCATGTAGTCGCATGGTAGAAAGTCCATGCAGTCGCACAAG